GGGAGAGAAAAGAGTGGAGAGGATAGAGATAGAAGCTACACATCTTTGAATATATCCCATTTATTGATTTGACTGTGGAATTAGGGAATTATTTTACACAATTATAAAGCAAAATTAAACCTTAAAAACACAATCCATAAGAAACTTGAAAATAAAAGGAAGCAAAGGAACCCAATGTTCATCTAGTTAGTAGCCTAACCATACCATTCCAAATAACCTTAAAACAGTAATTTGATAGTCCATCCCTAGTGGGGTATGCCCTAAAAATTTTTACACCACTTTCAGTAATCACATTGTTGGTGAGAGTGTTATTTGTATTCTGAAACTGTTACTGTGCATTGCCACAATGCATAATTACATGACATTTCTAATTCTATTGTTCCTAGAGTCATTTGTGATCTGGGATTCTCAATATGGGAGAAGAGAAAGATGTAAGACTGAGACATTAAATATAAACCTTGTAGTCTGATTTTGAATTAAAAATATCAGAATATACAGAGAAACAACATTATATACACTAATACATATGTATATACATATGAAATATATGATGTATACAAATGTACATTAAGAAAAAAATTGTATTTCCTAGCTCTACTGAAAAGGGCTAGAAATTACAACCAACCCAGTAGCAAAGAACACTCCTCCTAGCACCAGATGTGGTCCCTAAATATTGTTTCCTTCCAAGGGAACAGAACTCCTTGGAAAAATGGCTGATTCCAGACCTGGGGCAGAAAATGTCACCATAAATTTGGAATCTTTACATACTAGGTAGCAATAAAGCTATCAATGATGTCTAAGGTCATAAAAAACTTAGGAGCCAAACTGAATAGGCTTCTCATTAGTCAAAGAGATGGGACAAACTGATCATCAATTATAGTAACTGCAATTGATTAAAACACAGCAGACATGCTTAAATCCATGAGTTCATAATGATAATAAAATTACAATAATTTAAAAAAAGGGATCACCACTGGAGGATGCTAATGAATCAACTCATTATTTGAAACCTAGCAAATAAAGGGAAAGAATCAAGCATTTATCATGCCTTTCCTATAACAAATGTACCACTGGGTTACCAAATAGATGAGGATAAGTTTTTCTTTATAAAAGTACTCCAGTTATTAAAGAAGGAATGGTAGAGTATCACCATTTTACAATCTTAATGAATTAATAGAGGTAGGCATTGATTATGAAGGGCTGCTAATGTCACAAAAACAGAGACAACCAGACATCAGGGTCTTCTGATGGAAGATCATAATACCACCTATAAATACTTTTGCATACTCCCACTCACCACACACACACACCCCCCAAAATCAAACATGTAGTCAACAGACTAGATCCAACTATTAATTTATAAGATATAAAGAAAACAGAAAAAGCATGTTAAACTATAACAGAAGGATGCAGTCAGCAAAAACATCCTGTGAGAAATTTTATGGCATAAGTAACGTAGACGGCTTCAACAAATAAATGGAAAGAAATACGATGAAAATGAACCTACAGATTACTATAAACTTAAAAGACATTATCAACCAAATACAACCTGTGATTCATACAGGTGCATGCACACACATATCATATACATACACACACATACACACAACATTTAGGAGACAACTGGGAATTTTGTACCCTGACTGTATTATTGATTATATTAACTAATCACTGTTATTTTATTCTTTGTTGTTGAACAGTAATACCATAGTTTTGTTTTTAAGAGTTTTTATCTTTTACAAATACATACTGAAATATCGGTAGATAAAATGATGTCAGGGACTGGCTTCAAATTAATATAGGATGAGGGATTGGATAGAAATGGATATGATGCCATGAGTTGATACCTGCTGAAGCTGGGTGACAGGTACATAAGGGTTCATTACATTATTCTACAATTGCATGTTTATGAGATTTTGTACAGGAAAAAAGACATAAAGAAAAAAATATATGGCACTAAACTTCACATAAGACTTACAGATGAAGAACCTGAAGTTCAGAGAGTTTAGATGAATTAACAAGATCACACAATTAGTTAAGACGTTACTGGGACTATAATATTTTCTTAACCTTAGAACAATGTTCTTTACATATTACATTAAAAAATTACAATGCTGATCAGTGCTGACCTGCTTAAAATATTTACTGAACCAATTTATAATTGTTGCTATTCCTGATAAGACTAAATTATTCCATAAAGAGCATCTAGAATATCTTTGATTGCCATAATGTACCAGCTACTGTTCTAAGCTTTTTACATGTATTAACTCCGTTCATCCTCAGAGTAACACCATGAGATAGGCACCCTTATTATTATTATCCCCATATAACAGATGAAGAAATCTGAGGCACAGAGAAATTAAGCCTAAGGCAAGATTTAAACCTTTGCACTCTGTCTCCAGAGTTCTTAAATACTATGTTATACTGCCTCACTTATAAACTCATAATTTCTTTTATTTTTTATTTTTTTGCGGTACGCGGGCCTCTCACTGTTGTGGCCTCTCCCGTTGCGGAGCACAGGCTTCGAACGCGCAGGCTCAGCGGCCATGGCTCACGGGCCCAGCCGCAGCGCGGCATGTGGGATCTTCCCGGACCGGGGCACGAACCCGTGTCCCCTGCATCGACAGGCGGACTCTCAACCACTGCGCCAACAGTGAAGCCCCAAAACTCATAATTTCTTAATCTTATTCAAGTTTTAACTCAAACGAGAAACTAGAAAGGTACAGAACAGAAACCCATAAAGGACAGATCATATACATATATATAAAATATACACACACACACACACACACACTATGTCGATCAGATACAAGAATACATCAGAGCTTTAAAATGAAATAAAGAGAGGTCCATGGAACAATCATTCCCTTCTGTTATTTATATAATAGTAGGATTGATTCTTCTTTCCCCAAATCCCTGCCATACTTTTTTGTTTTTAATTTTGGTACCATAAAACAAATACTTAGGAGTACTCTAAATCCAGGTAACTGGATTGATTAGTCAAAATTGAATAAATGGTATCCATTTGAAAAGTTTTAAAAAGGTAATAGCATTGTACTTCACTTCTAATCACATTCTTATTACATAAATATCCACAATATAAAGATAACATTAGATAAGTTTAAAATAAAATCAAACATTCCATAGTCTACAGCAGCTTCACAATTTTAGATTCTGAAATCAAGCTATTAAAGGTCAAGTTGTGAGTTAGTATACTTAATTGACACCTAAGCTACAAAACAGTGGTGCTGAAATCAGCTGGGAGGCAATCATCTGCTACAAAGAGAGCAAATAAATGGTCAAGAGAAATAAGAACTGTTTAAATTTCTTTCCCACAGTTCAATTTTCCTCACAGAAGAATTCAACTAATGATGGCATAATAATTTTGGCAGTGAGCCTATGGAACAAGTTGGCATATTTTCCTTTTCTCTGAGATTGACTTTCATTATATCTAGAGAAACAAAAGTAAAATTAGAAGCCTGTTATAATACCAGTCATTATATCATAGGCTCCAAAATAACACAGAAGAAAGCAAGTCCCCAAAGCCACTACTACATCCACTAAAAGCTCTAAGTTACATAATTAAACCATCTACTGAAAAACTGGTTACAAAAAATGTGAAATCCTGTTAACAGATTAGTGCTTAAAATGCAACCAAAAATTTTTTTTGTTTAAAAGTAGCATTTTGACTCAGAAATGCACAACGGATTTGGAGCATAAACCTAAGTAAATGAAATATAACACTGATACACATCAAGAAAAACTGTTTAATCCTACATGTATAAAAATAAGCTCATAATTTCTTAACCTTATTAAAGTTGTGACTCAAACAAGAAACCAAAAGGGTTCAGAACATAAACCCAAAGACGAAGATTAAAATACATATAATCAAATAATACATAATAATAGATATGAGTGATTAATGATGGAAAAATCTAATTTTATCCTATAGTTTCAACACTCTCCCCCACCAAAAGTTTTCCAAAGCTCTAAGCAAACAGCTAAATTGACTCATTTGAGTAATTACTTTCTGATGCAAACACCCACAAAATGTGCCACAGTACAAATGTAGATGATGTAACCTCAAAAAATTGTTGTGAGGATTCAATGAGTTAATATTCATTAAGTACCCAGCAAAGTGTATGGCACACAGCAAACACTCAAATAATAGTGTAATTATAATTACTTGTTAATGTTAATAGCACCTTTCATTTCCATAGCAATTCTTCACAATAATTTCTTAAACTATACAAAATTCTTAACAGTTTACAGAATTCAAACTGGTTTCCAATATTCCTGGATGTCTGTAAAATCTGAGTAAGAACAAGGAAAAAACTATAGTGGTTCATCCAACCAATTAATATTTTATTCTGACTGTGGAAATAAAGGATGCTTTTAGGGCAATTGCATTTACCTTAACTTCAGCTCAAAAAATTAAGGTATGTATCAGAAACATTCCTTAATTTAACTAACTAATCCATTAATTTAAGTAAACTTTCTTGAACTTACTGAAATTATTTTGAAATTATTATTTTAACTTCTTTTATCTGAATTTGCTATTTTCAATGTATTCTTAATTACTCCCTTTCAACTTTCAGAGGTGTACTATTAATACACCTAATAGTGTATTCCACTGTTCTGGAATTTGATTTAAAAATTTTTATCCTACCTCTCTATATGGTTAAATATAAAAGACTTTTCTAGTCAGTACACAATTCCTAGAATTCAAGAATAAGATTTTTTAAAAATCTACTTCATAATAGAAATAAACAGAATATACATTAATTGGATGAGATTTATTTTCCACAAAATAACTCTAAAAGATAGTAATATATGGGGTGCTGATAAGGTCCCATTTCCTGGTCCCATCCACCATGAAGACTAATGCATCTTCCAAGTCTTCATCAAGGAAATTAAAGGTAACAGATATAAAATAGACTGCAATCTATAACATAGTGATCTACAGGGCCCTGAGAAAAGTGGTCAAAATGAAAACTCACCGTGCTTTGTTCCAAGGAAAAGGATATAACTAGTTGATTTAAGTATCCAAGCCCCTTGAAAAAGTATTCTTTATAGAGAGAAGGGGTAATTCTTAAGCTTCTACCATAATTTTGATGATGATATATAATTCAGGACTTTCCAAGTTCACTTTCTTTGTTCCACGATTACCACACAACTTCCCAAGTTCTTGCATACAGGAAAGAGTGCACTGGATTTTCAACCTGAAAATTCTGATTACTGGAAAGGGTTATCTTCTATTCCAACATAAACTGGCATTCTAATGTGTACATTCTGATGGGTACATCATTCTTTTAGTTAAGTCTGAATTGAGTTCCTGAAGTCTGAGCATACATGAGTAAAAGTATAAATTTGAACTTCTTACGCTGGAAATATGAGAACTAGACATTCCTTCTCATTGACAACTTCTAAAATCATCTCTTGGTTTTCACTCCCCTGCCCTTACCCTGCCTCTAAAATTAAAAAAATTTTTTTTTTCTTTTTAGTTAAACCAAATTTAGGCAAATTCATTTAAACACCAAAATGACTAATTAAAATCAAAGTAACAACCTAGAACTTAAACCAAAACAGAAGGATGCACGTTTACACAAGCCCCATTTACATTTACTCTACTCCCAAAAGAAAGGGGAAAAAGAAAAAAGAAAAACCTATAATAATCAAATTGTGCTTTAAGACAACACCCAGAAGTTATTTTTGAACTTCCATTGTCCAGCAAAAATTATTTATAAAGTGGTTTGGTATGCTAAGACTTAAAAAAGTATTTAAGAGACATGTGGTACAGAACAGGGTAGGAACACTTGCATTTTAAGTGCATAAATTGTGGACTTCAAATGATAACAGACTTTTCTCACTGGGTCATTCAAAAGCAACTGTATTATTCCTTCCCAAAAATATTTTCTTCCACACTCCAAAGAACTCAGCCTCACACCAGGCATTCCAGCTCTTCAATTGTTTCCGCTTAAGTTTAATTACAAGAAGGAAAAAATGCTCACCAAATTCACAGTTCGCCTAAAACAAAGAAACGTCTATTATCAACTCTAAATCTACAGGGCAGAATTCTCTTAGGACCGTGATGCCAAGAACTTCAACAGCAGCTGAAATTCTTTGCAGTCTCGGTTTCCAGGATACTGAAAGGCTGCAGAGACGCGGGAGGATCCTGCAGGGAGGCTGGGGCTGCGGAGGGAGCGGAAGAGGGGAAGGGGTGAGCCCCACAGAGGAACTGCATTAGACTTTGAGAACCTATGAGGGAAAGAAGGTTAGCTACAAGGAAAAACAGATTTATCTCCAGATCAAGTTCGTTTTCAAAGAGAACTTAAAGTGATGAGGATAAGGAAAAATGACAGAAAACCATTAACCCTCCAAAACCGGAGGGTAAGCGAAATAGGAAAAGGGGGTTGGGGGGGAGGGCGAGGAGAGTAAAAGCCTAAAACACCAGGATTTGAAAAAACGTACGCGAGCTCTGAGCTTGGCCTTGAGCCGGATCTCCCGTCCCGGTAAGCGGACGGCAGGCGGAAAGGATCGCACTTAGGGCTGTAGATAGCAACGCGTTTACAACGGTTGAGCCCTGCACAAGAAGATGTCGCCTCTCTCCCTGCTTGCTCCCGTTCATTTCTTTACATCTTACTCCAGCACCAGCGGCACTCCAGCAGAACTCTGCCAAAGCCTGCGCCGCAGGACAGCAAAAGGAAAATACCTGAGTCCCAGGAATCACGCCCGCAGTAACAAGAGGAGGAGCCGTGGACAACGGGAACCCGGGCAAGATCCTCTCTTGCCTTTAGTCAAATCCCAGTTCTTACGGGTGGGGCGGGGAACTTCCGCCCTGAGCAAGGAGAGCGTCACTTCCCCTTAATGCCTTCTCTCTTCCTCGCCCTTCTCCGCTCCAGATTCGCTCATTACGTTCGCAACGTTTTCACTTCCTTTTCCAGGGGCCTTCTGCCTAGTCCGATCTTCCGATGTGGACTACATGACCCAGCATTCATCACGGCAGATTGATTTCCGGGTCAAGAGGCCCGCTCTGGGTACATCACCATGGAAGCGATCGGTTTGGTCACGTGGTGCCCCTGGTTACGCCCGGAGGCAGCTGTGGGGTCTGGGGCTCAGACGGGGGCCATTTTGCCGAAGGCAGTCTCCTGGAGTTGGGGGCTTAAGCTGTTCTTTTTCCTCCCCTGAAGCTTGAGGCTTGGAGAAGAACAGGAACGCTGGGCTCCATCGAGCCCTTCGGAGATGATGGTTTCCTACAGGCTCCGCCACTTGATGACCCTTCATGGCGGCTGCGCCCTTCGCGCTGCTCCCGCTGCCGCCCCTTCCAGCCCTCTGTGCCTATCGCCTCCAGAGCCGCAGTCGTCCTCCCGCCCCAGAGACTGATGATAGACGAGGTAGGGGCGCCATGAGAGGCGAGAAAAACTACTGCTGCCGTGGAGCTGCCGGAGACCACGGTTCCTGCCCCCCGACGCCTTCGCCTCTGGCCTCGACCCTCTTGATGCCCTCGGAGGCAATCTCAAGTAATTGGTCTGGGTCTGGAGGTGGTTTGTCAGGGGGAGATGAAGAGGAGACTCGGCTCCTTCAACAACTCCGGACCGCGCCGGATCCTTCCGAGGCCTTTCAGGCTTTACAGGCTGCTTTGCCGCGCCGGGGCGGTAGACTTGGCTTCCCCCGACGAAAGGAAGCATTGTATCGGGCCGTGGGCCGAGTGCTTGTGGAAGGAGGTAGTGATGAGAAGCGACTCTGCTTGCAACTCCTCTCGGACGTTCTCCGGGGTCAGGGGGAGGCAGACCAGTTGGAAGAGGCCTTTAGCCTAGCACTTCTGCCTCAGCTAGTTGTCTCCTTACGAGAAGAGAATCCAGCTCTGCGGAAAGATGCGCTGCAGATCTTACACGTGTGTTTGAAACGTAGTTCTGGACAGGTGCTGAGAATGCTTATACAACAAGGACTGGAAAGTACCGATGCCCGGCTTAGAGCTTCCACGGCACTACTGTTCCCTATCTTGCTTACTCCTGAGGATTTGTTGCTCCGCCTAGATCTTACCGAGGTGATAATATCCTTAGCCCGAAAGCTTGGCGGTCAGGAGATAGAAGAAGAATCTGAAACAGCCTTCTCTGCACTTCAACAAATTGGGGAGCGTCTTGGCCAAGAGAGGTTTCAGTCATATATCTCTCGCCTGCCTTCTGCCCTGAGGAGACACTACAATCGCCGCCTGGAGTCCCAGTTTGGAAGTCAGGTTCCTTATTATTTGGAACTTGAAGCCTCTGGATTTCCTGAAGATCCCCTTCCCAGTGCAGTGCCTCTTTCCAACAGCAATCTTAAATTTGGGATTATTCCTCAGGAGCTGCATTCAAGGTTGTTAGATCAGGAAGACTATAAGAACCGGACTCAGGCTATTGAGGAGCTAAAACAGGTGATGGGACGCTTTAACCCTAGTTCCACCTCTCATTCTAGCCTAGTCGGTTTCATTAGTTTGATGTATAATTTGTTAGACGATTCTAACTTCAAAGTGGTCTATGGCACACTTCAAGTCCTGCATTTACTGGTTGTTCGTCTTGGAGAGCAGGTACAACAGTTCTTGGGACCAGTTATAGCAGCTTCTGTCAAAGTGCTGACAGACAACAAGTTGGTGATCAAACAAGAATACATGAAAATCTTCCTCAAGCTAATGAAGGAAGTAGGTCCTCAACAGGTGCTTTGCTTACTCCTGGAACATCTCAAACATAAGCATTCCAGAGTGAGAGAGGAAGTGGTGAACATTTGCATCTCCTCCCTCCTGACCTATCCCAGTGAGGATTTTGACTTATCCAAACTATCTTTTGATCTTGCTCCAGCTCTTGTAGATAGCAAACGCAGGGTACGCCAAGCAGCTCTTGAAGCCTTTGCTGTGTTGGCATCATCAATGGGCTCAGGTAAAACCAGCATCCTTTTCAAAGCTGTGGATACTGTTGAGCTGCAAGATAACGGAGATGGAGTGATGAATGCTGTGCAGGCCAGATTGGCTAGGAAAACCCTCCCAAAGTTAACAGAACAGGGATTTGTGGAGTATGCAGTACTCATGCCATCATCTGCCCAGGGTAGATCAAGTCATTTGGCACATGGAGCAGATACAGACTGGCTTTTGGCGGGTAACAGAACTCAGAGTGCACACTGTCACTGTGGTGACCACACAAGTGATAGCATGCAAATTTATGGATCTTATAGTCCAACTATCTGTACTCGAAGGGTACTAAGTGCAGGAAAAGGAAAAAATAAATTACCATGGGAAAATGAGCAGCCTGGAGTCACGGGAGAAAACCAGACCTCCAATTCAAAGGATATAGAACAGGTATGCATCTTCCCTAATTTCCTTGAGTTGAAGCAATGAAAAAATTTAAAATGAAAGTATGCTTGTAATGACTTAAAGGTGAGGCTCCTTGAGGGCTGTATGCTTTGTTTTTAAGTCAATTTGCTGATGTATCTATTATAATGAGAGAGGTTTGGTAGGTTAGGTAGATTTCCTGCTTGATTGATTGGATTAAATTTGAGGCACAATTTGATATAGACAATGCTTGGATTTCAGTTTTGGCCTGTCACTTTGGCATATCAGTTATCTCATTCATACAACAAACACTGAATACCTGGTAGGTGCCAGATAAAGAGCCAAGTTCTGGGAAGGAAGATGAGACCAGTTCTGCAGAGTTTAGGGAAAAGGTCAGACCTATAAACAGGCAGTTACAAATTTGTTAAGTGCTAAAATAGAAATATAAAGGGTCCTGTGGGAATACTGAAAATAGAAAAAATAATTCCACTGGAAAAGTAAAAAAAAAAACCTTCCAATAAGATATGACGTCTGAACTGAGATTTTTTTCCTCAAGTTTTTATTTTGAAAATTTCAAATCTGTAGTTTAAAAGAATAGTACAGCGAATATTCATATGCTTCATCTGTATTTACCACATTACCATCTATAATGAGATGAACTTTACATGACATCACCTCATGAGGCATGTAATATCAGGTGTCCCACTATTGGTGATGCTAAGTTTTATCACTTGGTTAAGGTGGTGATAACCATATCACTCCATTGCAAAGGTTTACTTTCCTCTTTATAATTAGCACATGATCTGCAGGATGATACTTTGAGACATTATGGATATGTCAACGACCTTCCACCCCTGTTGTTAGCATCCACCAATGATCCTTACCTGTATATTTATTACATTGGGAACTACAAAAAAGGGTGACACTTCTGAAAATTCTAATGGTCCTTCTGTATTTGTTACCTGGCATTCTTTTTTATTTTATGTGTAATAATTAAATACATTAGTATTCCTTTTGAGGCTAAAATTGATTTGACCAGTGGCTGGCTCCTGTGTCCTTTCGCATGACTCTTTAGTCTTTGAACACTTCCTTAACTTAAACATAATATGATGCCCAGCCTTACCTTGTATTTTTCTTGCTCCAGACCTGGAATCAACCTTTTTTCCAAGAGCCCAAGAACTGCTTTTTTTCGTGGAGAGTGGAATTTTAAAACCAAAATCTGGGTATAGATGTGCTCACTGCTATTGCTTATCATTATGCATTGGTCCTTTCAGTGGATAGAACCAGGGAATACCTTTATTTATTTATTTATTTATTTTAATTTTATTTACTTTTTGGCTGCATTGGGTCTTCGTTGCTGCGCGTGGGCTTTCTCTGGTTGCGACAAGAGGAGGCTACTCTTCATTGCGGTGCACAGGCTTCTCATTGTGGTGGCTTCTCTTGTTGTGGAGCATGGGCTCTAGGGTGTGCGGGCTTCAGTAGTTGTGGCGCATGGGCTCAGTAGTTGTGGCTCATGGGCTCTAGAGCGCAGGCCCGGTATTTGTGGCACACGGGCTTAGTTGTTCCAAGGCATGTGGGGTCTCTCCGGACCAGGGATCAAAACTGTCTGCCCTGCATTGGCAGGCGGATTCTTAACCACTGTACCACCAGGGAGGTCTCAATACCTTTTTAATTTTTTTAAAACAAATTCATACTGATACCTCCAATTCAAATCCAGCACTACAAGGTTCTTACTCATCTTCCTTTAGTCCATATTTGTATCTCCCTTCTCCCACAGTATAACCCTGGTCCCCAATATCAGTTATATTTATTCATATGCTGTATCCTACAGTACACAAAATATAATTATTACACCAGTAATACAACTACCTACCTATTAAATAAAGTTCAAGATTTCTTTGCAGTTGTTTTTATGCTTAGAATTATCCAACAGTCATATGGTCAAACTTTTCTTAAATTAATTGGTTTATAGGTGATTATAATCGAAATGGTATGATAAAAGATGAATAGGAATTTGCTAAGTGTGGATGCATCCTGGTGAATTTCAGACTGAAAATATATATGTTCAGAGACACTGAATTATAAAAGGACTTAGTGAGTTAATAAAAAGTGGTGAATTTATAAACAGCTGAAACAATGAGTTTGGTGGGAAGCAACAGAAGATGAAACTAGAAATGTAGGCAAGGACCAAGTATGGAGATCATTTTTGTAAATAAGTAGTTCGTGCCTTTCTCAGAATGGATGGAGGAGAACTGTGTTCTCTCTTGTTCCTTTTAATTCTAAAATTTTTCATTTTTATTTTAAATAATTTTTCCGTATTTACATAATTTAGTCATATGGTTTTTCTCATGTATTTCTCATATAACTACCGGGCAATGAATGATTTTCTGTAAGC